TCACTCTACTTTTTATAACGAGTTATATGTAAAAAAACTAATTTAAAATAAAATAGAATCAGAAAGACTTGCAACTTTCAAAATTTGCACATAGTTTCTTAGTCTAATAAAGGTACTAGCGCTTGAAGCAATTGATTTTTCTAAAAAAAGTTAAAAATCGCTGGTGCCTAATGATTATTCAGTTTGTCAACAATAACAGGAATAACACTTTCTTTACAAAACTGCTTGAATTAATTAGTTTAGTTATGTTTTTATTGAATATTTGTGGAATAGTTTTGACCAATAAATAAAATAGAGCACTTCAAATAGTTTTTTTTTTTTTTGCTGGTTTGTAAGCCATGTTTCCTTTGAATCTTTTCCATTCCATAAATTCTTGTTAAAATGCAATCTGATGGATATATTTTAAAATATTTTTTATTTATAGTCAAGTCAGGTTATCCTTGTTTACTTGTAATCCAGTACAATCTGCTTCATGTCCTGCTGGCTTGTATGAATTGCTTTTTCAGGCAAAAATTTTTAGAAGCCAGCTCTTTAAACACCCCCTGTTTTAAAGCACTTGATTGACTATAGGCTAAAGATAGTGTTGCGATAAAAATACTCATTTTGGACAGATGTTAAATGCATTCGGCTACTGGTTTGTAGAAGGCCTCCTAGGCAAAAGGTTAAGGGATAAACAGAATCTGTTTGTTGACCAGCTTTACACCCATTTTTCATCTATTAAACTGGCAAAGATATATTTATAATACATGGGTGTTGAATGCTGGACCTTCTTGACTCAATGCATGGGTATCGCCTGTTTCTCTGTTTTTATGACTAGGCAACTCATTTTATTATCTCCTAATGAGGGTGCATTTTGAAAACTTAGTTTTATGGATTGAGGCTGGCCTATAATTTTAATGATCATCTCACCGAATGGCTTGGCTCTTGTGTCAGTGGCTCTGCAAGCATTAAGGCACACAACTTTTTCTCAATCTCAAACGCAAATAGTCAACTTTCCAAATTGTTTTCCAGACAATCTGGATCATTTACCTTAGCTCAGATAGAAATCTTTCATTTTCTTGCTGAAAAATATGCTACTTATGTAACTTTATGAATTCGGGCTGGTATTTTTTGATTCCTCTAAGTGATTTCAATTCAAGCCACTCTTTTCCATGGTTTTCCTCTCATTGTGCTGCTGCAATTTTCAATCGTAACCATTACTTACAAATCTATCACCAAACAATTCTCCTGAAAGCAGATGTCTGTTTACTATCTCTAGAAACCATTGTAAAAAAAAGTTTGTCTAATGCCTGCTATTCTCATGTCCTAAAAATTCATATTTTATCTCAAACCTTTATTATTTTTTTAGGCTCCAGAGAATTTTAGAGAATCTTTAACAGTGTATGTAATAATAAGGGTAAATCTGTTATTCCTCCTACTTATATGGTTTAGATTTTGTTACCTCACATAAAAACAAAGCTGAGTTGTTTGCTAAGAACTTTTCATCAATCTCATCTTTTGATCACTTTGATCACATTCTACTTGATATAGCCGACAAACAAATCAATCCATTGTATGACATTCGTATCACTCCAGCTTCTGTATCTAAAGTGATTTCCTGGTTAGACTCTTTTACAGCTTTTGGTCCAGACAACATACTTGTCTTACAGATGTGTTCTCTGGAACTGTAGTCTATACTTTTAAAAATATTCAAAAAGTGCTTATCAGAATCTTATTTTCTAGCTTGCTGGAAAGCGGCATCTGTTATTCTATTTTCAAAAATTTTAGAGAGCAATCTGTCTCTTATAACTGCAGTCCAATCAGTCTTCTTTAGGGGTGTTTCGAATAAGCTATCTGGCCTGATATCCTGGTCGGATAGGAATATTATTCGGTATCAGATATCTGGCCGAATAATAACTTTATCTGGTTTTTTATATACCGAATACTTCATGGTGATATCATTTAAAAATTAAAAGAAATCCAGAAATTTTATATTTTCAAAATTATCTTATGTTAATGGTTTCTAATTAATGTTGTTATTAATAATATTAAAATACTGTTAAAATTATTTATGCGCAACAAATACCTCAGTTTATCACTCATTTATATATTTCTTTTAATTCAACATAAATGAACCACTACGCTACCACTGCGCCCTGGCTGCTCAAATAGGGTGTTTCAAAATACAACACTTCTTAAAAATATCTCACTATCTTAATATGTTCTATATATAAATAAAACTGGATATAAGGATTGGATTTGCTAATTGGACTTCTGACCACATTTATTACATCCTCTGTTTATCTTCTCTACAAATGGAACCGATGTTGAACAGCTTTTATTAATTTTGAAAAATTTCCAAACAAAACTTGTTATTTTCAAGGTTTATCGCAATAATTTTTGTCATAATAAAATATATTTTAGGATTTGAATTACGATATCCGGTCAGATAATAAAAAAATGCTATCCGGGACACCCCTAGTCTTCTTACTGTCATAGACAAGATTTTTGAGTCTTTAAATATTAATCACTTAATCAATCTCCCAGAAATTTTCACATCTAAGGTGGCATTGTTTGTTGATGATACTATCATTTATTTTTGTCTTGATAAGAAAGAAATACTCTCTGATTGCTTGGAGGAGGCATTTGAGCTTGAAAAGAATCTCATTTCTGCTCAGCATAGGGCTCTTAGTGACTGGTGAACTTTAATTCTGATAAAACTCAATTATTTTTTATTATTGCAACAATCTAGATCTTTATATATTTATGAATCGTAGTGTTCTCAATGAGTCATCTACCCTTAGTCTAAGGTTAACTCATACTCTTTCTTGTCTTTCTTGGAAAGTGTGTATTAAATTCATTGCAAAATTAGCAATAGGTGCTAATTTTTAATTTGTAAGCCTTTCTAATGTAATTAATTAATGTATGAAATTTAAATTCATCAGGTTTTAAACTTCATTCAAAAAACTTGTAACATTCAAAAGTTATGATCATGCAAAATTTTTCTGATACATGGAACAAATACCTTTGAAAAAATATTTTAAATAGAAAAAGAAAAAATCAATTAAAAAGAATTATTTAGAAATATAGAAATTGTATATAGAAAGTGTGTATATATATATATATATATATATATATATATATATATATATATATATATATATATATATATATATATATATATATATATATATATATATATATATATATATATATATATATATATATATATATATATATATATATATATATATATATATATAATGTGATTTATACAAATGTTTATTGAACTTTAACAAGCAATTTTAAAAATTAAAACTTATTTAATTATTATTTATAGGGAATTGGAGCAATATTAACAATAGTAAGTAGCTTTATTTATTCACTTTTTAAATAAAGTGTTTTTATTATTTTGAATTGAATGATATTTAAGGGCGAGAATGAAATATGCTTTAAAAGTTTTTTAAAGGGTGTCTTAGTGTGCAAGTAAGGTGTATTTTAGGTTTTAAATCTAGCTAAGCAAATAGATTTTAGAAATTTAACCACTATTTTAGTTGTTTTTAGATGAATTTAATTAGTTAATTTTTTTGATTGTTTTAAATTTTGAATCAGGAAGATCTTAGATCTAATAATGTTGTTAGATATTAGTATTCATACATTGTTCTACATTAGCAAAATGTTTTGAAATTAAACTGAAGAGGTAGAATTTTATTTTTTTCCCATCTTTTTTATTTGATTTTATTTCATAAAACCGATACTTATTGAATTATAAAACTTTTGAATAGTTAACTGTTGATTATTTATTTTGATTATTTAGAAATTGAAATCTTAGATTTTAGACTTTATCACCTTAAATCTATCACATTAAAGTTTTTAGAAATCAAAAAATAACACTTTTTGGTAAAGTATTTATTTCTGTTTTTAGTATTTTAGTTTTTGCAGTATCTGCAGCTTCCAAAATTGTTTGCTACTCTTATTGAACAGATTTGAGGTGACTGAAAAAAAATTTTGATATTTTTGAAACAATGTTTTGATATTTTTCACCTCAAAATCAATAGTTTTCTTTCTTGGCTAAATGTGAGGACATTCACCCAAATTCCAGACATGAGAACACATTAGAAGGATCTTGTATATTACACTAGCAGAGAAGATTGTATACACAATTTGATCAGTTTGTTTAGAAAGTCTCAGCATCTGTACAGCTTGAGACAGCATTCTGTCAGATGTCAATGAATGACAACCACAAGATGAGATTATAGACAATCTTCTTTTCTAAGATTGCTTAAACACCCTATTGTCATGACATGTTGGTTGAAAGTTACAAACAACTTGAAACAAATTTTTAAGTTGTTTGTAACTTTATAACTTTCATCGCCATTTTCTTGAGAATTGGGTCATAAAGTGAAATCAGTTTCAGCAATCATAAAATATTTCTATAATTAATATATCTCTAATTAGGTCAGATTTTCCACGAAAAGCCAATCCACGTTCACAAAAAAACAGAATCATGTCCAAGATTCATTCATTTTATTCTCCAGTTGGCTGCTTCATTCAGGACTTGGCTATTCACAAAATGTTTTATTGACTGATCAGTTTTCAATTAAACTTCCAATTCACATTCCTGAATGTAAAATTGTTTATGGGCTTTCGAATGTTTATGCTCAGGAATTTGACTGAGTTTCTTTTCACTTTTTTCAATATCCTTCAGTCATTGCAAGCGATGAATTAAAGTGTGGAGTTTGATTTCCACGTGAAAATAATTGACATGGAAAACAAAATACTGTTTTCTTTGCTGGGTTAAGTACAAGCTAATCTCACGAGAAGGATTCCATATTTGGAATTCTGCTTTTCAAAACAGACATTGAGAATATGAGATTTCCAGTATCTTTTGGCATATAAGCTAACCAATATCATATGGCTAAATTTTCAAAGTCACCAATTTCATATGGCGGAAACAAATCAGGTCTAATAGTAATAAAGATGCTTGAGAAAGCATTATCACTGTCTTCAAAAGGGGCTATTATATTTATATTGCTGCTGTCAGCACTATTACCACTAACAAAACATTGGATGCTAATGTCATCTTTTTGCTGCATTGAGCAAGTGTAAGAGTCATCTGATGTTTTGGGATAAACTCCAATTCAACAAATAATGTTTGCCTCTTTTTGTAGAGCTGCTTCTTTTGCTTTGCTGATTTTTAACTTTGGTGCTCCTGATGGAAACATTTCCTTTTCATTTCGAGTTCCATTTTCATTTTTTCCAGATACTTTGGTCTACTATATATATAAATACGAATATATATATATATATATATATATATATATATATATATATATATATATATATATATATATATATATATATATATATATATATATATTATATATATATATATATATATTGAGCACTCTATTGTAGAATACACTAACGTAATTTATATAAATATATATATATATATATACAAACATTTAAAAAAATGACAATAGATGATAGAAAAGTTTATTATGAAAATTATACTAGATTTTTTCAATGTAGTCCGTTGTTGCCCTATGGCAACAAATATTTTTTCAAAAGTTTTTAGAAATAAGCAAATAAGTTAAACAGTTACATTTTTTAGAGACTGCTGACAATATACCTAATTTTTAAATTTTATTTTATAAAAAATCCACCCTTTAGATCTTAGAGTACACACTTTTTAAAAGAACAAATTATAGACCAAACTTTGAGGTTATTGGTATTTATTTTTTGTTGGTATACACAAACAATGGTCAATAATAGGTTATATAAAATAAATAAATTAGTTTTATTATTATTAGTTTATAAATTAAATTAAATTATACAATCAAGTGAATCAAATGAAAAAAAAACTTTTCCAAATACACCATTTTTAAACTTTGCACTAGATTTGATCACCTGAATACTTTTTCCACAAAATTCTAACTTTGCTTAGGTGACTAACAATCTGCACGGCCCTGATTGGAATAAAAAAAATATAAAGGTTTTTTAAATGTAATTACTATTATTTTAGTTTTCATTTCATATATATATATATATATATATATATATATATATATATATATATATATATATATATATATATATATATACATATATATATATACTCTTGCATGGTAGTCACAAAGTTTTTCCGATAAACTGTAGTTTTAAAGAGCGCGTTAATAAGCCTGACCAGAAAATGTTAAAAAACTTCAAAAAGATTTTTTTTTTAAATGATAGACTGCCTGCCCAAACCAAACCCTCAGTCGATGTAGCAGCACTCCCTTGCGAATCAGGCTATTTGTCAGTCGATGTAGCAGCACTCCGTTGCAAATCAGGCTATTTGTCAGTCGATGTAGCAGCACTTACGCATGTTTTAAAAATGTTTTTTTAATAAAACAAAAACAAAAACACTATTAATTAAAAAAAACTTTCTAGTTATTATTATTGCAGTTTTTTTAAAAAACAATAAAATTTAATGTACTTTCGCATTAATTTAATTGCTTTCACATTTCGATGACAATCAAATACAGCTTAAGAGCCGAGGTAATCAAAATTGTAGTCGAAAGAGTCTTTTATAATATATATATTTCAAGGAAATATATGTGTATATATATATATATATATATATATATATATATATATATATATATATATATATATATATATATATATATATATATATATATATATGTATATATATATATATATATATATATATATATATATATATATATATATATATATATATATATATATGTATATATATATATATATGTATATATATATATATATATATATATATATATATATATATATATATGTATATATATATATATATATATATATATATATATATATATATATATATATATATATATATATATATATATGTATTTAGAATTTTTAACACTGAACATTTAACACTGTGTTTCATTAATATTGACTCGTTAGACTTTAATTTAATCTGTATTATTCCACTGGTGGGGTACTACGGATTAAGTTATATATCATACTTAATGCTTTTCATGAATTTAAAAGGTCAAACTGTATTGATTATGACCAATACAGTTTGACCTTTGGCAATGGTGTTTTTTACTGATACAGTCTTCGTTTTAGTTTTATTCTTCTCTTTTTCTTGCAACCTTGCGACAACCTCTAGAGCTGTTAAAATTTTGCCCTTTTTGGTCAGAAGACTTTGATACGTTGTATACTGACTCCCCTTCCTTAACAAGCTGTATGGCGCTCATTAATTTGCATTGTACAAAATTATAATATGATTGTATGTACCAATAGTCTTGCATTGATATTTTATTTTAGACAGGATGATTTATTTCAGTCTTGTTATTTTATCTAAAATATTTTAAAATTAGCTTTACTCATATAAAGTTTAATTAAGAAGTAATATATGATAATAAAATAAATAAAATAAGGATTAAAAAATAAAATATAAAAAATTTAGATAGGAGTTAGAGCTTTACCCTAGCCATTCAGGGAAAACAAATTTGATTTATGATTTTAATTTAAATTGTTCAGTAGCATTATATAAAATTATTATATTCAACTGAAAATTGTAAAATACTATATTTAAAAGCAAAAGTGAGCTTAAGTATATAAATAAATGTCATGTAACTTATGGTTTTGTAACAAAATTCTATTATGTTAACAGGATTTTATATATTTTATATATATCCATTTTACCCCACTATCATTTTACCTGTATATCCATTTTGACCCATTTTAGATTTTTGTTCATTTATGAATATAGGTTAGAGAACTTATAAATTAAATTTTACATGTTGTTACATCATTATTCTTTGATAAGTAATATTACTGAAGTCTGAAGACAAAAGTTTGGAAAAGTAATGTTTTTTTTATATTTTTTTCAAAATAAAATGGTTTGCATTTTAACTGTTTATGTAAATCAAATATAAACATTGTTAATGCAAAAAAGAGGAAGCTAATTATTTGTGTAAACTGTTGAGAATTTTCAGGTTTTAGCATTATGTAGTGATAACTTACTTAATGCATACTTATTGAATATATCCATATTACCACAACAATCCATATTACCCCACCCTACCCTATGCTATTTTGTTAGATTTTTTGGAAGTTTGTTAGTCTTTGAAAAAAACTCATTATGATGTTTTTTAAGGAAGTTTGTAAGAGAATGTTTTAGTTGCTAATAGCTTTAAAATTTAAAAACTTTTTGAACTTTTATTGTAATTTTATGTAGTAATATATATGTAATATTTTATGTAGTAATAGTAATAGAAAGTACATAGAAATAATACTATAAAAAATCATGGTTAATATGATTTAATTATTTACATGATGTGGGGTACGTAATAACCCATGATGTGGGTTTTTAAGGGGTAGTTAGGAAAAATAGAAAGATGCCGTAATAAATAGTAGGGTTGGGAATTTTTCTAAACTTTTATAAACATGGTCTAAATAAATGATAAAATTAGATTTTCAAAAAAGTTCAAAATTTATTATTGTATAATATATATTTTATTTTGTTTTATTTTTATTTTGTTTAATTTTTTTGAGAATTAAACTCAATTACAAATCCTACAAGTACAGATGCAACATTTAATGATGCTTTGACTCCAAATATAATGGATAAGGTTGCAATTCAACTTGGTAGTGAATGGCTTAGGTTTGGACGTCATCTTAATTTAAAAGATGCTGAGTTAGATCACATTGAAAATGATAATAAAAAAACTTATGACAAGGCCTTTCAGCTTTTAAAACTATGGAAGCAGAAGTCAAAGGAAGGTTGTCTAACCTGGTCGAAATTAAGAAATGAACTCGAACAATTTAATCGATATGACATAATTAGAGAATTAGAAACAGAATTCAAACATTTAAAAGGTAGGTATAACTATTTATTTTTATTTATGTTTGTATTATCATAGAAAATAATTTTTTGAAATGGCATTTAATATATTTAATTTTGCTTGATTTAATAATTTGATATAAAGCTGAATGAATGATGAAGTAGGAGTAGCATAGCAGAATAAGTAGGTGTAGCAACCATATGATCTTGGTGTAGCAAGGCAGATAATGTTGGTGTAGCAGAGCAGGAAATTTTTGGGAAAAGAATAGGTTTGGTAGGTTTTACAGTAAATCTTTAAAAGATAAAAATAAATTGTAGTTAAATATAAATAAATGAGAAATATTAAAATATATTTTTTAAATTTGATAGTTAGACCATGGTTTTTGACTGACCTTCTATTTGAATATACCTAAAATGTCTATATTTGTTCAAACATTAAATGTTTAACCATTGTTTTCTAAAAACAAAACAAAAAACTCATCAATACTTTTCCTAATTTATTTCCTTTACACCATTCAACAGCAACTTTAAGTTGTTTTTTTCTAATGTTGCTTTTCTCTTTATAAGTGCTTCAGCATTAGAACTTGGATTTAGTGACTTTATTTGCAAGTGTGTTTTAAGTTTTTTTTGTTTAAGTTTAAAAATAAAAATAAAATAAAAACTAAAATTAGAAAAAATTATTTTATTTAAATGAATTTTAAAGTGCTTTGTTAAAGTGATTGTCATGTGACCTAACTTTGTTAAAGTGATTGAGGTCATTTTAGCCTGAAATGGTAAAAAAGTTTTACCATTTCAAAAGGTTTTTTTTTAAGTCTGCTGTCATTTATTAATACACAAAACATTTATTGACACATTTATTGATATAATATTTTTGAATAAGTATCTTAATGGCATGTTTATGAAATTCCAAAATGTGTTTATTACACCCGTTGACCTCATCTTCTTCCTTTTTTTTAATAAGATTTTAAGTTTGCTGTTATTAAAATTTTATATTAACTATTCAAACTCATTTGTCTACAATTTTTCACACAACATCATTTCTAAATCTCTTAATACAATTTTTCACACAACATTTCTAAATCTCTTAATACATTTTTTTTCTTTATGAATGTTTTCTGAACAGTTTTTGTTCTTTAAAAGACAAAAAAATTAATTTAATGCAAACACTATAATCTTAACAGGCCTGTACAAATAATATTGGTTAAGGTTGTTTCATCAGTGCAGGCTCTTTTTCATTACATTAAACATAAGTAAAATGGTGGACTTCAAAATGGTGGACATCCTACATTTGCACTATAAAGATAGTCTACTTCACAAATAAATTGCTGAGCTACTATTATATTATACTATTGTACTATTATATTGTCCCCTAATATTAGGTTAGTTGTTATGTTATAGCCCGAGTATTAGGTTAGGTTAGGCCTAGTAATAGATTAGTTGTTATGTTAGTACATAAAGCTGTAAAAATTAAAGTTTTTTGTGTCATCTTTTTTTTCTAACTTATTCTAACTCGTTATTCTCAGTACTCTAGTTCAAAGCAAGTAAAATATGTTTATTTGTAGTCAGTTCCTGTTGTTTTCTTAAACTTCATTTTTTGAACAACTTCGTTTCTTATCCATCATAACTGGAGCATCATCTGCACCACATGATGTTATATTGTTAATTGGTATTTGTTTTATCTAAATAGGTTTTTAGTATATATCAGTATATATTTATCAACATATATCTATATATATATACAAGCAGTAGAAGTGCTTTAAATGCTTTCTCATAACAACATTTTTTAATTAAATTTATGATTGTCAATATATATCGCATAAGTCATCATTTTTTTTTTTTTTTTTTTTTTTTTGCATTAGTTTTTTTTTGTCTAAAGAATAATAAATTATTCTTTTTTCAATTTTTTTTTTTTTTTTTAAATGGTCCAAATTATTGTCAACACAATTAGTATGTTTTTGTAAAAATTGTTTTCTAAACATGGAACCACATAAAAAAGAATAAAAACATCATCAGGTATTAAATCAAATTTTTCTGAATACTGACAAACCTAATCTTTTCTTATTTTAATCATTTTTTATTCAGTTGTGAAATTTTTAAAATAAAGGATTAAAAAGTATAATTAAATTTAGCAGAATGACAGATCACACACATATGAAGTATCACATAGCAGAATGCAAGCTACGACAGATCACACACATATGAAGTACCCAACTTTAATTACTTAAACATTTAAACTAGTATTGCCATCTTTCACTTAAAATAAGAAATTAAATTTTTTTTAAATTGTTAATGTTCCTTTATGCTCAAAGAAATTTTTATACTATGTATATACAGTTAGTTGCTATATAAGGAATCCTGTCTTTATAAACTATTATGAAGACAGGATAATGATGATGATGATGATGATGATGATGATGATGATGATGATGATGATGATGATGATGATGATGATGATGATGATGATGATGATGATGATGATGATGATGATGATGATGATGATGATGATGATGATGATGATGATGATGATGATGATGATGATGATGATGATGATGATGATGATGATGATAGGTGACTGTACTAAAATTCTATTTCTGGGAAAAATTAAAGACAATAAAAATGAAAAAAATAGTATACAAATGAATCTTTTTTTTGTTTTTGTTTTTTTGTCAAAAAATACTTTTTTTTAATACAATATTTTGTAAAAACATATTGATTGAACATTTAAAGCACATGATGATGATGAAGATATGATAAAACACTAAAACTATTTTACAAAAAAATGAGTATCCTTTTTAGTTAATGGACTAATTTATTAATCAGTATTTAAATAAAAACCACTTCCCCACCTCCTCCCCTCAAAAAAAAACAAGTCAAGTATATGTAATTACATTAAATGTCCACATCAGTCTTCTATAAATATATAAAGGCTCCAATATAATATCCTTTGAAAGTCACATTTTTTTTAATTTTTGAAATTCTATATATTGCGCTGATGAATGGCTTGCTATTCATTTTTAATTTCCAACACTTAAACTTTTGGAGTCACACATCTGCTATGATTTTCCGATTTGCATACTGTAGTATGTGATGAGTTTTAATTTGACTTTTTTTCATTCATTTCTTAAAACAATAAAAACTTCACTTCACAAATTTCTCATTTTCCTTGGACCACTCATCATTATATATAAATATTATTCTCATTATTATATAAATAAGAAAAAAAATTATGCGATTAGACTAAAAGGTTTTATAAAAAAATTTGTTTAAAATTTATTTTGTAATAGTATTTTTTATTTCATAATATTAAATTATTGTATTTTATAATTTAGATACCGGTAAGCAGTGAAGTGAAGATAAAAACAACATGTGTTTAGAGAAAGTTTCTTCTATTTTATATAAGACTTCGGATTTTGCTAAAAATAAGTTAAGAATGAATTAACTATAAATTTAAGAAAAATTAAATGACTCTAAACTTTGTAAGTAGGTGAAACGTAGATTTGTCATGTTATATTTATTTGTTAATTTATTTTTGTTGGTTTTATTTTATAGTTGTATTATTGTATAGTTATAATTGTATTAATGAAAATTTATTAGTTTTTGGTTTTAAAAAAAACTTGTAACAAACTTTTTTGTGTAATAAATTTGTATTTTTTAATAGATTGTAATAGATTTGCCTCTCTAACTTGTTATTCCTAAGGACACATTTATATGAAATTTTACTCTAAAATATAATATAATATATATATATAATATATATATATATAATATAATATATAGCAAACGTAAAATGTTTTTTTTTTCTTTTACAAGTTCACTTTATATATATTATAACTATATTATAAATATTATACATTATATAAATATATACTTTCTCATATTAGGGTAACACTACTAGGGTAACACGAAACTCATCAACTCTTATTGATAATATAGTTATAACAGACATTTTCAATTACAGCATTCAAACAAGTATTGTAAAATCTGATTTAATGCCGGATCAACGCATACTTTAACAACAAATAAAATTACTAGAAACGTTTTTTTACAAAAAAAAATATCGAATCGTATAAGTCTCAATTATCTTTTCTACATTGGTAGCATTGACTTTAACGATAACGCAATCAACATTTATAATAAATTCTTTGAAACTTTCTACTCAGTGTATGAAGCAAAATTTCCAGTTTGCAAAAAAGAATAAATACTAAAACATTAAATAGTCTTTGGATTACAAAAGGACTAAAGAAATCCTCTAGAACAAAACAAAAATTGTATATAAAATATTTAAAAACAAAATCTCCTGCAAGTGAAAAAATATATAAGAATTATAAAAAGATATTTTGGAAGACTCAAAAAAATTTAAAAAAATCTATTATTCAAATCTTATCAAAAAATTCAAAGCGCACTTGGAATATAATAAAAGAATTAACTGGAAAATCAAATATATGTTCCAAACACTATTAATTTTGAAAACAAAATTATTTTCGAACCTAGTGAAATTGCAAAAAAATTTAAAAATTTCTGCACAAAAATTAGAAAAAAACTTTCAAATAAAATTCCAACTTCTGATAACTCATTTATAGACTTTTTATCCACTAGGCACTAGTGGATAAAAATATTATTGATTGAACCAACTCCCGAGAAGTTTAACATAGCTTTTAAATCTCTTAAAAGAAATAAAGCTACTGGCTTCGACAAAATAAATAGTAACATAATTATAGATTGCTACGAAAACGTAAAAGATACACTTTTCAAAATTTTTAAAACATCTTTAAAACAAGGGATTTTTCCGGATAAATTGAAAATTGCAAAGGTTATTCCAATCTACAAAAATAGTGACAAAACAGATGTGTGCAACTACCGCCCCATTTCTATTCTCCCAGCTTTTTCAAAAATCTAAAAAAAAATAGTTTATAATAGAACATATAAATATCTTAATGATAATTAACTGTTAAATAATAATCAATTTAGATTTAAAAAATGCATTTCAACGGAACACGCAATTATTCAATTTGTCCGGCAAATCTCTGAGTCTTTTAGTAGAAAAGATAAATATAAATGGGGATTGTAAATAGATGCATATAGCAAAATGTTATATGCATATATGCATAATTTTTACATATAGATGTAAATGATATAAATAAAGTATCAAACTTAAAAAACATCATCTTTGCTGATGATACAAATTTATTTGCATCAAACCTTAGCATTACGAAACTGTTCTACGAAATGAATAAAGAACTTAAGCTTTTCTCTAACTGGTTTAAATAGAATAAATTAACTTTAAACATAGACAAAATATTTTTTATTTAAAGATGCGAATGTCTTTAATGTATATCAACTCAACATTTATAAAACTTTGTGTTTATGTTTTAATGTAAAGTTTCAATGTAATGAGGACTCAGCACTTTCTATTTTTAAAGATTTTTTTATCAAAAAAATAAGCAAATATATTTTGCGAAATGAACCACTTTGCCGTACAAAGTTTAATCAATTTTGTATTGGATATGGTGCACCTTATCTCTGGAACAAAATTGTTTTGAATAACTTTGATTTATCAACTTCATTTGAACTTTTTAAAAAATAAACTAAAAAAATTTATTTTTTCTATAAAGGGTATAATGAATTACTTCTAATATGCAATAACGCACTGTATAATATTTAATTTTTTATTTATTTTTGCTGTTGTTGTTGCTTTTACGCTTTTAAAAGGTTCTAACGACAAGATCAATGAGATCTTCTATCAGAAACCTTGTTTATATTTGTAAAGCTTTTATTTATAAAGTTATTTATATAATTGTATTACGATTTATATAATTGTGAACTGTAACACGATATAAACAAAAAATAAAAAAAAAATAAAAATTAAAAATATTATTAAACAATATAAAATAACTAAAATAGAATAAATAGATTTAAAAAAAGAGAAAAGAAAAGAACTTTAATAAAACAAGACTTTTTAATGTAATAAAAATTAATAAAAAAAGATCCCAAAAACCAAAATAATATAAGAATTTTTTTTTATATAATTTTTTTTTATGTTAAAAATACAATAATATGTTTGTGTCTGGCAAGTCAAGCAAATACATTTTAGCAACATTTTTAAAAGAATTTATTGAGGTTTTATTTTTCATATTTTCATCAAGAACTGTATTCCATAAAAAAGGTCCTCAATATGAATTAAATAATCTGTTTTTTTATGATTAGACTTTGGTAAAATAAAATTGTAAACGGAGCATATCGTTAAGTATTATGGTTAATTTTTGAAAAGCGATTATTAAAAAGTTTTGGTAACATTGATATTTAAACATATATAATAAATTTTGGAAGAGGTTTAACTCATGGACAATAAGTGCTTTTATTTTCTTGAAAAAAGAACAAAATTAGGCATATCTGAGGATAGGTACATATCATTCACATAGAATAGAAACAATACGGGTCCAAGATTTGAGCCTTGGGGAATTCCACAATTTATTGGTTCCAGCTTTGTACAAGTTAAGTAATAACATACTCCTTGTTTTCTATTTTTTAGATAACATCGAAGCCACTTTAGGTTGCTGTTTTTCACTCCGTATGTTTCTAGTTTGTAAAGAAGAATTTCATGATCAACAATGTCAAAAGCTTTTGACAAGTTAATAAACAAACCGTATAATTTTTATTTCCAAACCCATCTAGAATTAGTCTGGCTAAATCAGTTATTTTATGATGAGTCGAATGCCCTTAAAACCAAATAATAAATATTAAAACCAAACTCTTTATTAAATAAGATTTTATGTTTTTCCAGATAACAATATAGTCTGTTATACATAATGTGCTCAAGCAGCTTTGAAAAACAGGACAGAATGGATATTGGTCTGTAGTTAGATGGTATAGAATCATCGCCATTTTCGTATACAGGAACTACTCTTGCTAGTTTTAATTGACCAGGAAAAATACCAGTTGCTAATGACAATTTAAAGATTAAATATAGAGGTAATTCAATAACATCAAAAACAGCTTATAGAACATTAACAATAATGTTGTCAACACCTGTACTCTTATTAGTTTTAACTGTGTTAAAAGAAATCCGCAGTTCATTAACTGATAATTTAGACTCATCCATTACAGAGTGAGTTTTTTTAAAATAGGATTGACATTTTCCCCAGAGTTATATTTGCTGCTAAGTTTTTCCCTATATTTATAAAGAATTTATTTAAATTTTCAGCAATTTCTTTTTTATCAAATATATTTTCATTTATATATATATATATATATATATATATATATATATATATATATATATATATATATATATATATATATATATATATATATTTATATATATATATATATATATATATATATATACATATATATATATATATATATATATATATATATATATATATATATATATATATATATATATATATATATATATATGTATATATATACATATGTATATGTATATATATATATATATATATATATATATATATATATATATATATATATATATATATATATATATATATATACATATATATATATATATATATATATATATATATATATATATATATATATATATATATATATATATATATATATATATATATACATACATATATATATATATATATATATATATATATATATATATATATATATATATATATATATATATATATATATATATATATATATATATATATATACATATACATATATATATATATATACATATATATATATATATATATATATATTATCAATTTCTTTGGTATTATGGCGTTTTTTATTAATTGTTTTTTTTCCTATTACTTCTTTAATAACTTCCCTGTAATCCCCAGTTTTTCTACTATTTCCTACCAAATGTTCCTAGAGATTAGAATATTAATTTTTTTTAATTTATTTTTTCAATCGTTCAAAACAATTCTAATAATTTATGTATTTAATTTGATTGCCATAAGTTTTGTTTTTTTTAAGAATTTTTCATAAAACTTTTGTTTTTTTATGGATGATTTTTCAAGGCCTTTTGTCATCCACGGGTTATTAAAGGTTTTACAATAAGCAGTTTTTTCAACTTTTGGAAAAGATATTTCATATTCATTAGAAAATAATTGTATAAACAAGTCGTATGCATTATTTGCATCACTGTAATTAGTTAAAAACCCCTAACCAATTTTCGCTAACAATTCACCAAATTTTTTAATGGATTGACTGTTTATTTGTCTTAAGTATGTTGTAGAAGAATTGATAGCGTCAGGAATTACAGAGTAAGTTAAGAAAATTTGGAAAGTAATCGCTAACATTAGTTTTCAAGATGCCACTTTCCAATTGAGAAACCATGAAATTGCTAGTAACAATATTATCAATAATTAAAGAAGTATTGTGCGTCACTCGCGTTGGTTTGTTTATTATAGGTATTACGCTATTCTGAAGTAGAGTATTTACAAACCATTTAGTGTAACATTCATTATTTATTTTTTAAACATCTATGTTAAAATCACCTGAATAAATAAACGTGCTTTTTAATGACTTTTGATAATATTTTTTTTACGTTGTGTCTAGCGCAACGGTACCGTTGCTTTAATTTGTTATCTTAGTAAAGTTTGATTGGTTTATTCAAAGCCACGGCTGCGAATATGATTGGTTAGTTTTAAAAGCTTTATTTTTGGAAATTTTAAAAGAATTGCAGTTTTT